CAGTCTGGCCAGCGACGGGGTCGTCTCTGCACTCCGCGGATTGACCGGCGTTCCTACAGGCGTGCCAGCTGCATCAGCCAGAAAACCATCCCAGAGCCCCCTGGAAAACGCCCAGGCCCATGCGCCTCTGGGAGCAGACCATCAGCAGGCCCATCTCACGGCAGAAGGAAAGGTCCTGGAGGTCCAAGCCTCACCGTGACGAAGGGGCGGGTCAGAGTCTCTCGGCACGTGCTGAGCCAGGGATGCAGGGGACAGCCCCATGGTGGCTAGACAGCCCCGGGATCCTGCCTCACCCGGAAGAGGCACCCCGACCTGCCCCTGCCCCTCGGAGCGAGCCGCCTGCCGCACCTCAGCATCTCCGCCAAGACCGGGGTCTGCTCGGGGGGGGGGGGGCTGCTGGCACCGGGCAGGGCACTACCCCTGCAGAGCCCCCCGGCCGTCCCATGGGCCCTGCACAAGGGGCAGACGCTCCCGGCTGGTTTTCAGAGGGACGGGGGTGCTGTGGGGAGAGGAGGCCTCTGCCGGTTATGGCAGCGCCTCCTCCCTGGCCCCTGTCGTCCCAGTGCTGAGTCAAGTACCCCACTGCATGCGAGGCACGGATGCCACCGCCCCCTTGTTCACTCCCCGGCCCCCCAGGCCTTGGTCACGCACGGCGCACCGGCCGCCGCCACCCACTGACGCCCGAGGGAGGAGGTCTCATCCTGCACTGAACAGCAGCAGGCAGGGGGGCAACCCGAGGGCTCGTGCCAAGACTGCGGGCGTGGGGAGCAGTGGCACAGCCGTTGGCAGCCTGGGCTGAGCCCCCCTCCCCTGCTTGCCCCCCTGCTGGGGCTACCCCTTCCCCCACCTGTCACCACACGGACTGGTTCCCGCCCCCCCCGGCCCCAAATCTTCCCCCCAGACACAACCTGCTGCTGAAATCCCAGGCTTGGGCCAAGCGGGCGTCCACGGAGCTGATGCATTTGAAACGTGGCGCTGGCTGGAGGAGCGCTTTGCAACCCCCAAGTGGCAGGAAGGTGAACCGAAAGACAGACGGAACCACGCCGGCGCTTTCCCTAGAGGCAAAGGGCAGACTGTCCTGCTTCGCACACGCCATGAGGAGGCCGGGCTCCCGGAGAAAGGCGAAGGCGGAGGAAGGGGAGGAAGGCCAGGGGGGCCACGAGCCCTCCCCCAGGAAGCTGAGGTGGGAGAGCTGGGCAGGAATGGCACGGATAGGGCGCGGGGGGGGGGGCGCTTTCATTCATGGGGTGGCCATGAGAGGGAGATGCCTGATGGCCCTTAACAATCAGGGCCGGGTCCTTGGGTTGTCACGCTATAGGTCACCGTGAGCCATGAGCAGCCCAACTCGGCCCTCCGGCAGCTGCCTCCCCTGCAGCTGCCCAGCACACGCTCATCCCCCCCAGGTGTACCTTGGGCCTCCGTCACGCATCCTCAGGCAGAGGCGTTCCTCCACGGAGGGGCAGAACGTGTGAGCAACGCGTATGAACTGGAGGGGATTTGGCCCCGCTGGAGACACCCTTCCACCAGGCTCTCCACGGTCTGCTCGGTTTTGGCCGCCATGTGGGGAATACGGGCAGAACCCAGGGAGTGGGCCTCTGCCGAGGGGGACCCGTGGTCCTTCCCGCTCACCTTGTTCATCCGAACAGCAGCAGCGGCTTTCCAGGGTTCCAGGCAGCATTCCTTCCCAGCCCCACCTGGGCATTTGGGGGGCTTCTGCTGGCCAAGCAGGGGCTCGACCCCCCTTTTGCCTTCAACAAAGCCCAGTGTCTCCCGAGCAACCCACGCGAGCTTGGCATTTGGCCTCGACCAACTTGGATACATCTCCACTGGAATGATTTGTAAACTGCGGGTATCTCTCTGTCATGGCAGGTCTATAGGAAAGCTGGCAGCAGGAAGACTTACAATCGGTCCATGTCTTTGTGGCATAGAAACATAGAAGGGGGGTCTCCTGGGCCATCTAGTCTGGCCATCTAGTCTGAGTCTCCTCTTCTCCAGGCTGAAGAGACCCAGTTCCCTCAGTCTCACCTCATATGGCATCCCCTGCAAACCGGCCACCAACCTTGTGTCCCTTCGCTGCACTGACTCCAACCTGGCTACATCCTTCCTGTAATGAGGGACCCAAGACTGAGCACAATACTCCAGTTGCAGGTGCACCAGAGTCGTGTAGAGTGGTAGTAATCCCTCTCTCGATCTAGAAGCCACACTTCTGGCTATGCAACCAAGGGTGGCGTTCGCCCTCTTGACCACTGCATCAAACTGCTGGCTCATGTTTAGCCTGCAGTCAACCAGCACACCGAGGTCCCTTTCCCAAGCGCTGCTCTCCAGCCACTTGTCCCCTAACCTGTACTTATGACACCCATTCCTACGCCCCAAGTGCAAGACCTTGCACTTATCCACATTGAACGCCACCCTGTTGTCTCCTGCCCACTTCCATAGTCTGTCCAGATCCTTTTGGATCTGGAGTACCTGCTCCTCAGTTGTGGCCACTGCTCCAGTTTTAGTATCGTCTGCGAATTTGATCAGCAGACTGTTCACCCCTTCTTCCATGTCGTTAATGAAAAGATTAAACAGGATCGGCCCCAGGACAGAGCCCTGGGGGACCCTGCTTGTCACTGGCTGCCACCCCGATGATTCCCCACTAATGGTGACCCCCTGCTTTCGGTCAGTCAACCATGCCCTAATCCACCGGACGGTGCTTTGGTGCATCCCAAAACTCCTCAGTTTCTCAACCAGGATATCATGGGGCACTTTGTCAAAGGCCTTGCTGAAATCCAGGTATACCACATCCACTGCATCCCCTCCATCTAGCCATCTCGAAACCTTGTCATAGAATTCCACAAGGTTTGTCTGGCAGGACCTGTTTTTGTGGAAGCCGTGTTGTGTGGCTGTCAGCCTCCCTTCCCTATCTAGCATCACTAGATCTCTCGCTATTATGAGCCTTTCCATTGTTTTTCCTGCAATGGACGCTGCACGTGTCCAGGAAGGAAAGGCCAGCCGGGACCCACCAGAGGTGCTTGTCATGTTTGCCTTCTGCCGTCCATGTTTCAGGGACCCAATGCAGAAAGAGCTGTGCCAACTGTTCCTCCCTTCCAAAGCTGTGAGTGGGCCTTGCCGGGAGAGGAAGGGGCTGCCAGGGGCCGGGCCGGGCAGGACGTGGGCTCCAGAGGGTTCTCCTGATTCCCACTGGCATCTCAGCTTCTTCCCTCTCACTCGCTGGGCCCAGGTTTCCCCGGTGTCGGAGCAATACAGCAGGGGAACCGGCTGCCTGGAGAGGCGGTGGGCGCTCCCACACTGGCGAGATTCAGGAAGACACTGGACGGCCATCCTAGTGGGAGGGTGGGAACGGGTGTCCAGCAGGGGCAGGGGGTTCACCCGATGGCCTTCACGGCCCCTTCCAACTCTGCTGCAGTGGCACCTCGGCTCACGAACTTAACCTGCTCCACGATTCTGGTCACGAGCTGAACTGGTCTCGAGCCAAGTCAAATTTCCCCATGAGGTTCAGTGTAAATAAGGTTAATCCGTTCTGTAAATAGTTTTTTTAATCACAAAAATTTGAAGCAAAGTGACAAACAACAGCAAAGTACAGTACAGTAGAGAACACCAACCTGGGTGGGGGAGGTTAATGTTTGGAGGGAGGGTCCGAACGATAATCGTGCAATAGCGATCGTGCTCGGGGGGGGGGGGGGGGTGGCCGCGATTGCAATCGTGTTGTGCGGGAACATGGCTGCGATCGTGATCATCACCCAATGTGGAGTTTGCGACCCGAGGCAAAATTTTCCTGAAATTTCTGTTCGTGACCCGATTTGGTTGTGAACTGAGGCGTTTGTGAGCTGAGCTATCACTGCGTCCTGTGATTCTATGAAGTTTAGACGGCTGAGAAGAACTGCCGAGAGAAGCTGCCCCGCGAGAGGCTGGGTGGCGTGCAGGCGGCCGCCACGGTCCGGCCGTGCGAGTTCCGCGGCTTCGGTGCGCCGGTCCCGGGCCTAAGGATGGGGCTGGCCTGCGCGCTTGTCGGCGCTGCGGCGCAGGCCTGCTTGGGCCCCCCCGCCCCCTGCAATCCCACAGCCTTTGTCCAGACCTGTGAGCGCTGGTTGCGGCTCCCCAGCAGGAGGGGCAAGACCCCGGCCAAAGGCCATCCTGAGTGGCACTCAGAGGCTACAGGAAAGACATCTCTGGACAGGACTGACTGGCCAGTGGCCAGGCTGGCATCCCGTCATCCCTAGAACAGTGGTGCCAAATGCTCCCGGTTCTCAACAAATGAATGCATTCGAAAGGGGAGGGATACTCAGAACCCCCAGCCGGGGCCTGAGTCCACGCTCCACACGGAAAAGACGTGGAGGTGCTCTGATCCGGGAACTGTGCTGCTTCCCATCTGGAGCCCATCATGCCGGAAATTCTGGCGAATCGTTTCAGCCGGAAATTCTCTCACTGGCTGTAAAGATGGGCAACTGTCTGGTCGGACACCCTGTGTGCCAGTGGCAGCAAAGGACGGGCGAACCCACGTCCGCTTCTGGTCCCGCTCCACGTGCTTCGAATGAAAAAGCAGAGTCTGCTCCGATTTTCCTTAAATACTGGTACAGGTGCTCTGTCTGAGATGAGACGCCAAGAAAGGCAGCTGCCTCAGTCCCCCCCCTCCCCACAGCATCACAATCTGCCCCCCTTCAGCTCCGGGTGTGCAGGGACCATTGTGAGTGCTGGCCAGGCCTGCGGGCAGCCAATCAGCAGGCGGCTGCAGGCCCCTGGCAGAGGAGGGGAGCAGGGCCCCCGGAGGAAGCCACGAGGGGCATGGGAGGCCCGGGTGGGCCGTCGCGCAGGACTCGAGCGAGGCAGACCCGGAGCGAGAGCGAGGGGCGCCTGGCCCCCAGGAAGAACCCGGAGGAGAAGGTGCGCCCCCAGCCCCGGCCCTCGTCCCCGGGGCTGCCAGACTCTCCGCTGCTGGCCTGGGTGTCCCCGTGTGCTGGAAGGCAGCTTCCCGTGGGTGGGGGGCCGGGGGTTCCCACGGGGCCCTGCCCCACACAAGCGGTTGGTGCTTCAGCTTGGGGAAGGGAGGAGATGGAGTTGGCAGCTCTGTCTCTGGCTGGAGGAGGTTCCCCGGCCAGGCTTGCCCCCTTCCGTGCAGCCTCCGTTCCCTCCGCATCCGAGCGGGCACGGGGGCTTCCGGGGAGAGGACGAGGGGCTGCTCGGAGCGTGGCGGGCAGGAGGGCGCGATGGCTGTCGCGTAGCAGCCGCCCGCCGCGTGAGCGTCCTGCCCCTCTCGGGTGTGGGGTCGGTGCCCGAAGCCCCGGAAGGGAGGGGGAGGCAGGCCTGCTGGCTGCCGACTGGGCCTGGCCCCGCCTGCTTCACGGCCACCTCTCTCTCCCCTTCCTCCAGCCATGGCCCCCAAGGGGAAGCCTGCCCCTGCAGGGAATGCCCCCGCTCGGGCTAGGAATAAGATTGTCTGCACCCCGAAATGGATCATCCTGACAACTATTGGCTTCCTTTGCGTCATCGTCTTCTGCGTAACCCTGTCGATGTGTAAGTCCCGTTCCGCAGGCCGAGGGTCGCGTGCTCCGTGCAGCTCCCGACGGGGGGGCGGGGGGCGGAAGCCTCCTCTCCTTCCTGCTGCAGCTGCTTGTCTTGGCAGAGGAGCCGCCAGCAACTGTTCCGTGCGCACGCGTGTATGCGCGCACTGATGCACTCCTGCCCAGTGGTGGAATCGGGGCCCGGGCCCATTTAAAGGGTCACCACCTTCCCCTCACCGCTCAGATTTCCCTCCAGACTCCGTTGGGTGTGGGTGGGAGATGCGTTTTCCCAGCAGCAATATAGAAACATAGAAACAGAGCGAGTCGGAAGGGGTCTCCCAGGTCATCTAGTCTGCCCCCCCCCCCGGCTCCAGCCGACTCCGCTCACGACGTGCCCGCCATGTGCATGTCCAGCCTATCCTTGGACACCTGCACCGATGGGGCCTCAGCCACCTCCCGTGGGAGCCCATTCCACACCCTTGGGGTCCTGACTGTCGGGAAGCACTTCCTGGCATCCAAATGGAACCTTGGCTCCCTGAGCTTTGCCCCGTTGGAGCGCATCCTGCCTTCCTCTGCAGGAAGAACAGGTCTCTACCCACCTCCGTGTGACATCCCCTCACATACCTGTATGTCGCCAACAGACCCCCTCTGAGTCTCCTCTTCTCCAGGCTGAAGAGACCCAGCACCCTCAGCCTCTCCTCATGCGGCTTCCCCTGCAAACCGGCCACCAACCCTATGGCCCTACGCTGCACTGACTCCAACCTGGCTATCCTTTCTTTAATGAGGGGCGCAAAACTGAGCACAATACTCCAGTTGTGGGTGCACCAGAGTCGCATAGAGTGGCATCAGCACCTCCCTCTATGTGGAAGCCACGCTTCTGGCTATGCAACCAAGGGTGGCATTCGCCCTCTTGGCCACCGCATCACACTGCCGGCTCACGTTCAGCCTGCAGTCGACCAGCACCCTGAGGTCCCTTTCCCAAGTGCTGCTCTCCAGCCACTGGCCCCCTAACCTGTACTTCCGACACCCATTCCTAATATCTCTGAGGTCTCCTTGTGAGCGTGGATGTGGGGCCTGCCGTGAGGTGTGCATGGCTCTCAAAATCCACTGGTTCTTCCTGATGGCCACAGCAAGTGACGGCGGCGTCTTTTCAGGTCCCATCCCCTGGGGTTTGGTGACCATGAAAGCGTCTCCTGCCCACCCCGAGGCTCATGAGGAGGGGGCAGCTTGCACTCCCAGCCCCTTCCCTTCCACCCACAATGCGCAGCTTCCGCATCCGGCCGCCCACCATGTGCGCCAGTGGCAGCAATGGACAGGCGCGCCCACGCCACCTTCTGGTCCCGCTCCACGTGCTTCGAATGAGGATTCTCTGAAGAGCTGATAGCAGTTCGAACCGGCAGCTCTGGCTCAGATTGCAAAGTGCAGACTCCTCGGCCTCACTTTTTTATGGATCGTGTGGGGGAAACTTCAGCCATGGACGTGCCGTTGTGTAACACCCACCCTGTCGCCATGATTTCAGATATTAAGATAGCCTCGAAAAAAAAGAACCCTCTTGAGGAACCCATGAAGAAACTGAGGAAGACAATTTCGGAAGGGCTCAGAAATAAACCATTCAATTATGCAAGTCGTAAGTGGAAGGGAACGAATTATCTATTTCTAATTATGCATTTTCAGGTTAAGAAAGAGACCCTCCGCCCCACGTCCCTCGTCAGAACATAGGAGCGTAAGGCCAGCCCTGCTGGATCAGACCCAAGATCAGGCCAGTTCAGCACGCGGTGCGCACGGGGGCGAACCAGCGGCCCCCAGCTCTGCCCAGGCAGGGTGCTCTGCCCAGTTCCTCTCCAACCTCTGGGGAAGGAGGAAGCCCATGGCCAGCCAGGCTAATAGCCACAGATGGCCTCCTTCCCGTGAATCTGTTCCGGCCCTTTTTAAAGCCGCCCAGCCCTGCACGGCAGCGAATTCCACAGTTTAACCTCCCACCATGTGCAGAAGGGCTTCCTTTGATCTGTCCTAAACCTCCCACCCATCAGCATCATGGGATGACCCCGGGTTCAAGTGTCAGGGCAGAGGAAGAAAAACATCCCCCAGGCCACGGACTCCACACTAAGCATTATGTGAAACCTCTTTAGTCACGTCTCCCCTTTCTTTCCAAGCTGAACAGTCCCAGCTCTCGTGGCTGCTGACCATTTTATTGCCCTTCTCCATGCTTTTCTCAACTCAGTAATGACCTTATTCAATTGCGGTGACCAAAACTGAAGCAAATGGTCCTCGTGCGGCCAAATCAAGGATTCGCATTAGGGGCGCACGACCTCCTATTCCTTTCCTAACGTTACCGAGCACGGAGTTTTGCTTCCTCACAGCAACTGTGCCCTGGCTTGGCATTTTCATCAAGCTGCCCCCCACCCCCCCGATCCCCTTCTTGCTCCGTCACTGCTAGTTCTGATCCCATCGGACAACAGCGTACACAGAGCGTGTCGGGGGATTTTGCGCCCCGGCATGTGCTGAACTGCCCTTGCCCTTCTCCCAGCCCGCAGAGATCCCTTTGGAGCTCCTCGAATCCCTTTCGGTTTGGACCACCCCAAAAGTTAAGTGTCATCAGCAAATTGGCCCCTGCACTGCTGAGCCCACCTTGTGCATGAAGCGATTAAACAGCATCGGTCCAACCCGGAGCCCCGCTGGACTTCACAGAACGGAGGATGGCGAAGCTGCCGTTGATTCTCGCCCTCTGTCTCCTGCTCGATAACCAGTTAGTGACCCATAAGAGGACTCTACCCCCTGCTTCCACGGGGTCCCAGGCACCAAATTTAGGCTGCTAGGTAGAAGGTTGAAACCCAGGGCCGCCAAGTTGGCTTTCTCCGAGGTGCTGCTGGTTCCACCCGCGGCTGAGGAGTCTTGGCGTATCCATGCTGACAGGGCTACCTAGATGGTGCGTGATGCCCGCAACCTCCATTCCAGGCAGGCAGCACCCCCGTTGCAAACCCGGCTTTCTGTGCTTCTAATGGTCAAAGCTCCCTCCCCCAGAAGTCCTCTGCCCCGGAGGGAAATCCTCAGAGCGAGCGAGAAGGCACATGCTCGCCTTCCAGGGAAGGGGCCCCTTCTAAAGGATCCTTTCCGCCTTCCCCAGAACGAGGCCCTCCTTCCCGGAGACCCCTTTCTCCTTGCAGAGGAGAGTCGCCCAGGAGTTGGGACCCTGCTCGCTGGTCCCCGGGGGTCCCCCCCCCAGCCTGTCCACCTCTCTTTGCTTCTCCGGGACGGCAGCCTTGGCTTCGAGGGAAGAGGTGTGTTCCCTTGTAGCCTTCGGTGCAAAACCCTGGCCGGCCCTCGCGCCCCTGCTAGCTTTCTGAACTAGTTTAGTAATATCGCACACCAATGACTGAAGACTTTAAAAGAAATTCTGAAAAGTTTTGGAAGGAGAAACAATAATTATAATAATTTTGAAAGAGCATTGAATATAAAGTTCATCATTATTTGAAAATACTTGGAAGGCTTTCAACATGTTAGAAGGTCAACAGAGTAAACGCCAAATGGGCAGGGTTTAGGGGCCATCACAGAACAGGTCTACTCACGAGTATGCGAGGATCTGCTCAGAGGACTTTTGGCTACTGGCCCGCAAGAAGGGCTTCGGTCAATACATGAGGGAGAAATACCTTCCTTCCACTTGGTCCACAGCAGGAATAGGCTACAAATGTCTTTCAGGGACCCCCATCCTCGCTTAAGAGCAAAAGTTAGGGATGATGGGAATTCCATGCAAAGGCTGGAGGAGCCGTTTTCGCCCGCTCCATACTCACTGACAGCGCGATGGCCAGCCCGGCTCTTACGCTGGAGCAAATGGGGCTGGTCACTGGCTGGGGGGGTGGTCCTAGCGAAGCAGAATTCTCCCCCCACCCCTTCGGACACAGTTAGTGCAGGCTCCAGAGCTGCAGTGTCTGGGGTGGCGGATTATTATTATTATTATTAGAACATTTGTATGCCACCCCTTGCCGAAGCCTCGGGGCGGCTTACAACAGAATACAATACAATACAATACAAAAATAACAATATAAAATTAAAGTTAATAATATAAAATAAATAAAAAATATAAACGATATAAAAGAAATTATAAAAGAAAAGTTATAAAGGAAAAGAAAAAGAAAAGAAGTCGCCTTGGCCAGATAAATAAGTAAATATTGTTAACAATTAAAATGACGTTTAAATAAAAAGCCGCTCGGTGGCTTCGTATCCATGGAATGACCGCACGGTAGAGATCCAGTGTCCGGAGACACCAGGGAAGGGCCTGGTCCGTGGCAAAGGGCAATTCCAGCGCATCTTGCTCACACAGACTCAGGAGGCGCCCCAAGGCAGCGCTTCTCCAGGGAATGGCACCAAAATAGGGGGAGCTGCAATCTGGGTGTTCAGCTGGCAGAAAAACGGGGGCTTCAGGCTGCAATGCCTCCTGGGCTTTCCTCTTTCTACTGTAATGTTTTCCATTCGGCACAATCTACATTGGGCGACAGAGGAAGGCCAGCGCTAAGTGTTCGCAGGAACAGATGCGCCGACTTGCATGAACGGGGGAATGACGGTGCTCTTTCTGATTCTGGCCTGCTTTTAGCCTCGAAGGTTGCAGATGAAGTGTCTAGACTGCCAAACCACATCTCAGACTCTGAAAATAACTTCCATGACCAGAAAGCAAGGTACCGTAAGTATCAGCGTTTCTACGTACGATGCCATGAATGTGACGGCAAACAAATATAAGTGGGTTTAAAATGGATCCTGCTTCGTGTTCCAGGTACGGAAAGGGAAGAGGCCATTCCTTCACCTGTTTGAAGGGTTAAAGGGGACCCTGAAAACCTGTTAAATGCCAGGATATAGCAGTGGTCAAGGCAGGAACGCCCGGACTGAGTTGTTCCGGGTCTCTCTCTCTCTCTGCTACTTCTGGAGTGTTTCTGTCGCACAGCCATCCAGATGGGGGCGCAGCTTGGGAGTGCTCCTCGCCCCAGAACTGTCCCTGGAATCCCAGGTGGTGGCTGGGACAAGGAGTGCCTTCCTTCGGCTTCGGCTGATTTATCCACTGCGCCCCTCTCTGGATGAGCAAGTGCCTGGCAACGGTGACCCATGCGCTGGTAACTTCCCAGCTGGACTACTGTAGCAAGCTCTACGTGGGGCTGCCCTTGAAGGTGGTCTGGATACTTCAACTGGTTCAGAACACAGCTGCCAGGTTGGTAGCAGGAAATGGCAGGTATGCACACATAATGCCCGCCCTTTTCCACCTGCACTGGCCAGGCCCCAATTTAAGGTGCTGGTGATGCCCTATAAAGCCTCGGACAGCTTAGGATCTGGTTACCTGAAGGAGCGTCTCCTTCAGTATGTGCCTGCCTGTCCCTTAAGGTCTGGGATGGAGGTTCTTCTCCAGGAGCCCTCCTTGAAGGAGATTAGGAGGGTGGCTACCCAGAGAAGGGCCTTCTCTGCGGTGGAACCCCAGTTATGGAATGCACTCCCCAGAGAGGTTTGCCTGGCGCCGTCACTTGATTCTTTTCGGTATCAGGCTAAAACCTTTTTATTTTTCCAGTATTTTTAGGTTTGATCGTCATTTTAATACGGGTTTTATTGTTGACTGGTTAAGAATTTGATTAGGATGTTGTATTTTATTTTATTTTTGTCTTACTGTTAAACCGTCCTGAGACTACAGTAAGGGATGATCTAAAGAAGTTCAAAATACATAAATTCACAATATTGGTGGGCGTGGTGGGCATGTCGTGAGTGGTGCCGGCTGGAGCCGGGGGTTAGACTAGATGGCCCGGGAGACCCCTTCTGACTCAATCTGTTTCTATGTTTCTATATTATTCTGACCAGTTCATAATTACTCATATGGCCTTATAACTTTCTTGCCTGAAATCTCACCTGAACCTGGGTTGTCTCAGCTGCAATTGGGACAACCCAGGTTGAAGCTGGACACCAGGAAAAGCTTCCTCACTGTCAGAACAATAGGGCAGTGGGACCAGCTGCCTGCAGAGGTGGGGGGCTCTCCCACACTGGAGACATTCAGAAAGAAACTGGGCAGCCCTCTGAGTGGGATGGTGGGACTTGGTGTCCTGTAACAGCAGGGGGTGGACTTGATGGCCTTCTTGGGCCCTTCCAACTCTGCTCTTCTGTGATTCTATGGCCACCCCCCTCTGCAACCCTGGATGGGACGCTGATGCAGCCCTGAGTGCCCAGGTGGGCACAGCTGCGAGAGAGCGACCCCTCCTGCTTCATCCCCCTGGGTCTCCACGAGGCCGACCAGGTCAGCCCCCTCAGGACTGAGCCGTGGATGAGGGAGGTCTCATTCCGGGTTGACCTGGGACAGCGGCGGCACCAGGCCCGCGCGTGAGCTGAAGCAGCTGCCAGGAATCGTCCAGCCGGGGAAGGACCAGGGGAGACGTGGCAGTGAAACATCTAACCCCACTTCTCCTCCGCTGGCTCGTTCGTCCCCCGGTGCCATCCCTCCTCCTACCCACGACCACACCAACAGGGGCACCCCTCGCTCCCCAGCATCTCCCGGGAACCCTTCAAAAGTGTGCATTAAGACAATAAAACACCACCGTGCTAAAAACCACAACCGCCATACCTCTGAGCAGCAATCGCGCCATCGAAGGGCCATCCCTCCCCTGCCCGGCGACTGGGCCCCAGGAGGCACGGGCGTGGACGCCCGGCGGGCGATGCCCAGGCCCACCGCCTTGGGTGCAGCCCCCTGGAAGGCCACCGGGAGGGCAGGTGGGAAGACCGGCCCCGGAGCCTGCAGTGGCTCGTCTCGTTCCGTTGCTGGGTACCTTGCCTTTTCACCAGGAAAACTGGCTCTCAGGGCACGTTTGTCTCTGTTTCTCCTTAGAATCCCTGTTCAAGAAAGGGGCAAGAACCAGTGGGGCCTGGAAGGTTTTTGAGAGAAGCCTCTACTACATCTCCACGGAAAAGAAGACCTGGCACGATGCCGAAAGCTTCTGCATGTCCAGAGACGCCCACTTGGCTTCCGTCAATACCGACAAAGAGCAGGTTTTACGTTGTTCCTCCTTGCCTTCTCCTTGCTTCGGTGTTCTCCTGTCCACGTCTGGTCCTTTAAAGTTCTCCCATAGGTATTTTCCAGGATCTCTTGGAACTCATAGAAACAGTGAGTTGGAAGGGGTTTCATGGCCATCTAGTCTGACCCTGGCTCCAGAGTACTGTCTTGGCCACAATGGTTGACGGACATCCTAAGCTGGCATGTCAGAAAATCAACTAATTCATCTTGACTCAACTCAGAATTTGGAACTCTGAGGCACTGTATTATCACAAGGGACAAAAATACAGCTGCAACTTTGATTGTCCTGCATAGAGGAACTTGCAGGAATACTAGCTGCTTCGGAGGGAATTACGCCTGCCAAAGTTCACACAAATACATCCGCTGGGTTCTTTCTTTTTTTCTTTTCATTACATGCCTTTTCAATGAAGGGAAATACCCATAAATTTTTAAAATTTCTTGCCGTAACTGAATGAAGTTTGCTGCATCTTTCTCCCTTTTGGGGGTGCTGAGCCTGCCAAGTTTCCGCTGGATAAGTGAAGGTTTTATTTGCAAGAGCAGTCTCAACATTGAGGGGTCTCCAAAGACAGGGCGCATGCATCTCTCTGTGTTCCTTGTGGGTCTTTCTTCAGAAAATGCCGGGTCTCCCAAATTAAGAAACCTGCAACGTGTCAGAAGGACAGGATGGCGACGACCAAAATCTTGTTCTGTGCCTTTTTTCGCACGGAATCCTGCTGGGGTTGCAGTACTGACCCCCCCAAAGCACAGTGACTCTCCAGCATGGCTAAAACGGGCCCATGGGTGGGAGAAGGACCTGTCCGTCACTCCACTTGACGCTGCTCAGTGTGAAGAAAAAAGGGCAGCACACACGCCGGAATCGCAAAATGCGTCTTGTGTAGGAACGAGCTCTGGTTCTGTTGGGATCGGAAAGCGGCATCGGGAACAATCTGGTTTTCTTGGGCATTGGCTAAATTCGGCGCATGTCTCAAAACACTGCAGTGCGTTGCAGTGCTTGGCAAATTACCTCTTGAGACCATCCTGGGATTCCCTGGATAGATAATTTCATAGTTTGAAGAATGTGCAATCCTGGAACTCTGTACTGGGCATGCAGTGGCCTCTTGTGGGTCTGGGTGTGTCCTAGTTGTGTGTCCCAATGGGGAGGAGGGCACCTAGATGGCCTCAGTGACCTTTCGGCCAGGTATTGGCTGGAGCTATGAATTCCGTAGTCACTGGCTCCACCTGTTCTCGGCACTTTCCACCTGGCTGGGCTCCACCCTCCTGTCCGGGGTTAGCTACCGAATGGCAGATCTGCTGGGCCTGCTATGCATTTCCCCGTGAACATCCAGATTGGCACTGGGGTTGGGGAAAGATGCCTCCACCCTTAGCCCAGCCTGTATTGCCAGGGAGACAAAAACTGGTCCCGAGCAGGGTGCTGGGAGAGAAGATGGACCCTGGAGGTGTTCAAGAGGTAGATGGGCAGGGTTGCTCGACTCAGAATCATGCCTCGAGCTGGGGGTTGGACTTGATGGCCTCGCAAGCCCCTTCCCACTCAACGATTCTCTGATTCTGCAATGGAGCTGGGCGGGTGGCGCGTTCGTGAAGAGAGCATGGGGGTAATTTTAAGGGGGAGCAAATTCCTTGGATGTGCTGCCCTTGGTGCAGGGGATCTGCGGCAGGGCAGGAACCCGTCTTGGCCTGGAACGGGCATCTCAGAAAATGTCCCAGGCTCCTCCGCCATCCAGAGGGCCCAGTGCCTGATGCACCCGGGGTTCTTTGGGGGAAGTGTTGGTGTCAGAAGTGGTTGAAGGGAGGCAGAAAGGACAGGGGGTATTCCTGATGCGGGTCACCGAGCAGAAGCAAAGTAGCTGGCTTTCCATCACGTGTGGCTGTTCCGCCTTTTCTTCTGCAGAACTACATCTCCTCTCAGCTTGACGAACCTGCCTGGATTGGCCTCACAGATGAAAATGAGGAGGGCAACTGGAAATGGTCCGATGGCTCCAGAGTATTCCCAGAGTGAGTCTGCCGAGGGATGCTCCCGGAGGGCTGCCTCCAAATGTCAGGGGCGGTATAATTTCTTGCGAAATCTGGCACAGCATTTAGCCTCTTTGCTGTTGGTGAACTACCCCTCAAGCAAAAGGCAAATTGCCGTGCCGTTTGGTGGTGGCCCCACAGGCTCAGGGTGTGCAATTTCTGGGTTACAAAACAGAGCGCGTAGCTGGGTCTTCATTCCCCTGTCCACCACCTCAAAGGTGTCCCACTCCGTGGCTCAGCCCCAGTGGGAGTGGCCGTGGTGGGAGAAGGACAGGCCGCGGAGCCCCGGTCTGGACCAGCTGTGTCTTTGCCTCTTTGTTCTCTGGATTATGTGTGATGCTGGGCGACGCAGAAGAGGCTGGGGCAGGTCTAAGAGGCTGCAGCTGCTCGCCTTATCAGAGGAAGGAGGGAAAGAGGGCATTCTGGGCGTCACTCCAAGTGCCCCTCATAGTATGGAAGCGGGCAGGAATCCAAGCAGATGGACTGAAGTCTGGGCAGAATCTCACCGGAGTTTCTCCTACGTGTGGCCTGCCAAAGTGGGGAAGTTAATCTTTTTTTCTAAGAGGTCAGCTTTCTCAAGTTGCTCTCTCTGTCCTTCCACACACACACACACACACACACACACACTCAAAGCAAGATCTTCTTTCTTCCTCGAGTCCAAAGGGCCACCCGTTCCCCTTGGGCTGCGCCACCGTGCACCCCTCCTCCCTGGTTCCCCACCTTGTCTCGTAACTGAGGGCCCCCTCCCTGCTCCCCCCAGGTTCTGGGCTCGTGGCAGTCCTCGCCGCACAGCCGCCTATGACTATGGAGATATGGACAACGACTGCACCTTTATACAGCCGTTTTCGTTGAGCGAGCGGAACTGGAAGGATTTTAACTGTGAAGCACTCTACAGATGGGTCTGTAAGGAGAGCCTGAGTATTGATACACCCTAAGTTGGCCAGACCCATTACACAGCTTCACACTGCTTCCGGGGTGCTGTTCCTTTTATTGTGGGGCTCTGTGCTGCTGCGGAATGGCCAGGAAGTCTTATTTCCCCCACAGCCTGGAATAAAGAGGTGGATTGATGACATAAATTTCGCAAAGGAGGCCCCCCTGCCCGCTGAAGGGCCAGCTTGCCCTTGGTGTGGGGGGCAAACAGGCTGCACTTTCCAGGCGACCCCCTGCCCCGGGGGGTGCAGCCCAGACTCAGCCGCAGTGCCCTGCCGCACAGACGCAGAGTGTGCATACTAGGAGAATTCCCTCGTGCTGGCAGGTTGCTTTACGGGTATGTTATAAAAAGGCAGTGGGGGGGGTGTCATATGATAAGACATCAGGTAGAAAGGACGGGGGCTGGAGTCATTTCTGCTCCCTGCTATTTTGTACTGGATATCCTCCTGCCTGATCGCAGCAGCAGAAAAATCCTGTCTTTCCCCACAGCTTTCTGTGAGTGGTCATCACTACGCTACCATGATGGATTAAAAAAATATGGCCTCCAAGGGAATCAGGAAATTGCTCCTGCAGATCAGGAGCCGGGCTGCATGTACCTTGGCAGCCTGTTATCGGAGAAGGCCGTAGCAAGCCACCCCTTTCTCCCACGACAATCAGATGGGAGCGCGCGGCATACTCTGTTTGTATTTGGGTCCTGCAAGTGCTAAACTCGGGAACCTTGCTACTTTAAAAATGGGATTAGGGAAGCTGGGCTAGCTAGAGAGTTGCTGGGGGTGCAGAGGTGGTAGCCCCTTGGCTTGGGGTTCAATCCACCTGTGCAGGGTCCTGGAGAGGAGGGTCTGCCAAGCCGTGGAGATCCTGGGCCATCAAACCGGCAATGGCTTGCTCAGTCCATGCCTTCTCCTCCAGGTGTCCAGGATCATGGCCTCCTGGTATTTCCGCAATACTTTAGTGGTGGTCTTTGCACTTCTGCCAGGTGGCAGATGGTTGAGCCAGATGGTGAGACCACCTGGTTAACAAAACAGAAGAGGAACTTTTGCAATAAAGACAACCGAAATGCCAGGAAGCACACAAAGGAGAGAGTTGTCAAACCATGAACTCCAAAATGTACACAAAAGTCATTTCTGCATTTTATTCTCAAGTGTGCTCTGCCCGTGGCGGAGAAGGCCTGCGGGCCGGTGCGTGTCGCAGGAGCGGGGCTGCGTCAGCCTCTGCGGTGTGGGCAGCTGGGTATCAGATCGGGCACCAGGACCCAGACAACCAGCACACCACGGGGCCCATGCCAGATCTCAGTCCAGCAGACCAGGGGTCAAGGCCGGTAACGGAAGAGCAAGGTACAATGGGGAAGAACAGCCAAAGCTGGTCAGGAGTCGAAAGCCAGAGGGTCAAGCTGAGGAGAAGCAGAGGGTCAAGCAGAGGGTCAAGCCGAGGAGAAGCAGAGGGTCAAGCAGAGGGTCAAGCCGAGGAGAAGCAGGCACCACGGACCAGCGCGAAGGTGAAGACTTCCCTGATGAAGACTGGGAAGCCGGGCAGGGCCCAGAAGTGGAGGCAGGAGCGAGGCAACAGGCAGTTTCCAGAAACAGGCTCCAGAAGGCACCGAGCGCCCCAACAACATCCGGGACCTTCATTACTAAGGCAGCATCTGAAGGGAAGAGCCAATTTCTATACAGTGCTTCCTTCAGGGCTCCCAGTTGGAGATGGAACAGGCCAGGTGGCTGCGATGGGCTGTGGAGAACCACCAGGGCTGCTATTCTGGTCTCTGGCCAGAAGAGGGAGCCCAGGCGCTACGAGGAAGCTCAGGAGGAAGGGGGCAGCTGTTCCTCCCCGTGGGTGGCCAGCAAAAATCTGGGGTGGGGAGCAGGCGGCGGTGCCAAGTCACGGCCATACCTGGTTTCAGAACCAATATTGTAAATCAGAATCATAGACTCATAGAGTTGGAAGGGGCCAGAAGGCCACTGGGTCCGACCCCCTGCTCAGGACAGGACTCCCAGTCAAGCATCCCTCCCAGAGGGCTGTCCAGCTGCATCTTGAATGCCTCCAGGGTGGGAGAGCCCCTCAGCTCCCTATGTTGTGGGTTCCACTGGCAATTTAGAGGTGTGGATGTCAATGTACAGTTGCACAAACTGGTCTAGAAAGGAAATGTCCTTTTGGGTTGTGCCTTGGCAGCATTTGGCGGTTCATATACACATCCACATTCTCTTTCACATGATACTCAAAAATGAGTGAGGATAAATAATGGTCAGCTGGAATAAGTTAGAAACATAGAAACAGGGCGAGTGAGAAGGGATCTCCGGGGTCATCTAGTCTGACCCCCGGCTCCAACCACCTCCGCTCATGACATGCCCACCATGTGCATGTCCAGCCTATCCTTGAACACCCTCACCGATGGGACCTCAACCACCTCCCGGGGAAGCCCATCCCACACCCTCAGGGTCCTAACTGTCAGGAAGTGCTTCCTGGCATTTAAATTGAACCTTGGCTCCCTGAGCTTTGCTCCGTTGGAGCGCATCCTGCCTTCCTCTGCAGGGGAGAACAGGTCTCTGCCCACCTCCATGTGACATGATATTTACTTGGAAATCTGGCCTTTATACCTTCAACTGCATCCCCTTTTTAGCCTGAATCACTTTAGGAATCCAGTCAAATGACTCTTTACTTCTTTCGAATCTTCTGTGAAATCTGCTGTTACTTCAAATAAAGGTTGGATATCATCCATTGATAAAAATTCTCAAAATCCTCAAATTATGCAACAACAAGCCATCCCATAGGAGAACAATTTGGTGAGCCTGGAAGAAGATTCCACAGTGTTTCTGGGCATCTTTTGCATCTTTATTGACTGAGATTCATAGCAAGGAACCGCAATACAAAGTTCTCAGTAAGCGCTGCAAAGTTTTTGAAAGCTTCACCGATCACATCAGAATAGTGGTCAATGTTGCTGGAAGGAGTGTGGCCAGGTTGGTCCTTACCTTCCCCTGTGTGGAAAATAGTCAACCGTGCTGATGACTGTCAGGAATCTCTTCATTTGAGATCACTGGCAATGCCTCCAGCATTTCTTCATATGTTTGTGCCCCAGAACACCAGATTCTTGCAAAAAGATCTTCTTAAGCAATTGTGCAGGTGTCCAGTCACATACAGCCCTATGGTCTCCAAAGCAACCAGCTGAACAGTTTCAGGTTGGTCAAATTTGGGAGACTATGTGCAAATTCACCCAGCAAGAACAGCAAGCAAGGAATCCCAATTTTAAGGAAAATGTGGCACGTATTGGTTCATTCGTGAGCTAAGTGGCCTCCGGGGGACGGAGGAGCACAGGAAGGCCAGGAGGAACGTTGTCCACGGGGTCGCGATGGGTCGGGCGCGACTTCGCGACTTCATGACTAGCAAGCGAGCGAGTGAACAAGCAAGCAAGTTGTTCATTTATTTCTTACATTAAGCTCCTCATACGACACTTGCCTAAATCTTTTCACATGAATACCAATGAGATAACACAATCGCGCACATTCCTGTTGCAAGCTGCATTAACTTGCATCTTCATTTTTACATTAGAGACCGAGTTCCCGCTTAGCCTGTTTCACTAAGTATGTTTCACAGGCAAATCAATTATAGACCAAGAAGGGTAACTAATCACTGGGGTTTTTTTAATGATACAATGTTGTTCTTCTTTTTGATGCCTTGCAACATTGTTTTGAAAAAGTCATGGTGTTTTTTTGAAGTCATGCACACACGAGGGAGGGCATTTTCCGAGACTTATTGCTGCACTGCAAGAGTTGTGCTGGTTCCAAACTCCGGTCTCAGAAGAAACTCTTTCACTGGCTGTGAAGAGGGGGGCTGCTGGCCTGGGAAAGCCAAGGGGCGCCTGCCCCGATCGCCTCTCCGCCCGTGGAGAAGGGCTGCCCAGCCCTGCAGTAGCCGCGGCATCACAATCCGCCCCCTCCAGCTCCGGGGCGCAGGGCCATTGTGAGTGCTGGCCAGGCCTGGGGGCAGCCAATCAGCGGGTGGCTCCAGGCCCGGGGGGGGGGAGCAGGGCCCCTGGGGGAGGCAGCGAGGGGCACGGGAGGCCAGGCGGGCTGGAGCGAGAGCAAGGGAAGCTCTGGAGGGGTTGCCCGACCTCTAGGAAGTGCCCGAAGGAGAAGGTACAGTACAAGCTCTTCTGGAGTGCCCCCTGCGCTGCAGCAGGGCATCCTCCGGGGGGCAGGTGGGGCTGGGGAATCCCCGAGTGTTGCAAGTCAGCCCCCCAGATCTGCAGGTTCCCTGCTTGCCTTGCTTCCCATGGCAATTGCACCTTCTAGCTTTTGGGATACTCAGTGGCGAAAGATCCCAGCTGCGGAAGACCCGAGTCTTGCCTGTCTCACAGTGGCTCATGGCCCACCGGGTTGTGCGGCTCGACCTCGAGACGTAGCCTCTGTCTCGAGGTCCGGCGCTTTTCCGCTTGCTGCGCCCGTGGCGACTTTTACCAGGTCAGCGTGAACCTCGGCACATTTGCGGGCTTGCGCAAGTCGATGCCGCATGTCGGGCTCCGAGCGTGAGGCGGGGTAGCGTGTGGAAGCCCGAGGCTCCTCCTGGGTCTGGGAGCTCCGTGCAGTCGCCCGTAATTTAAAGCGCGTTAGCCGCTGCGTTTGTGCACCGTCCTCTGCGTGCAAGCGGGTCCTGAGTCGCTCCGAGATTCCCATGCGAGGGACTGGTCTGAATTAATTCACGTTATTGATTGACCTGCGTGGCTTAGGCATGGGCAGGAAGGAGCCGCGAGGCAAGAAAGCAGAGCTCGTGGCTCTCTGTCCCCGGCAGTGCCACCTTTGTGGCTCTTCCCCGCTCGTACTCGCCAAGCCATGGCCCCCAAGGGCAAAGCCGCTGCTGCAGATGGCAAAAAAAGGGAACCGGCACCCCGTCTCAAAAATCTGCGCCTGAAGATCGTGTGGGCCATGCTTGGGACTGTAGCACTCATCTCCCTCGTCATGCTGATCGTGATGAGCTACCTCTGTAAGTTCCGCTCTCCGTGTGAACGCGCACCTTCCGAGAATCACCCTGGGATAAGCCATACGTTGGCTGGCTGGTGGGGATCGGGCCCAAGAAACTCCCCTCACAGCTGGGCTGAAACCTCTGGCCCCAGCCGTGGTGTGCTATGCACATCTGGATCCCCCCACGTGTGGGGTGGTGGAGCCCCCGTCTCATGGGGGGGGGGTCCATGTGAATGTCTGTGTGCTCTGTTGACACTTGGCCAGCAAGGCTGAGTGACTGGCAAGCCCAGAGTTGGGGAGGGGAGGGGAGGGGAGGGGCGGCTAGCCCGCACTGAGAGCTCAGACTGAGCACCCCCAGAACACCACACTTCTCCCACAAAACCAGCTTTCTCTCCAAAAAAGCAACCTTTGCACAGAAGTTGACTGACCTCTCCCTTGGCCAAGCAATTCCCTTCACCAGTCCTCGTGGCCCTCCTGATGCCCCCATGGCAGATCCTTTGGGGCTTCTCCTCCCCTCCCTCCCGAGACTGAAGGTTGTGCGTGTGTGAATCAGTTTGTTGCTGATGGATTCTTCACAGCTTCAGCTTATTGATCTGCTACCTTCGCACGCATCCCTTCTTGCCAATTTCAGATTCTTCAGTGAGGAAGGAACACCCTCTTGAGGAGCCGATGAAAAATCTGAAGCTTGCGATGGCAACTGGGCTTAATTATCCAAAGGCCATTTATGCACACCGTAAGTGGGAGGGCAAAAATCAGTAATTTCTGATCAGTTTGGACACAGACTGCCATCTAAACATCACCAAAGAGAAAATGGAGGCACGGAAAAGTGGCTGGGGTACGCAGCGATCCTGGTGGGAGTGGATACGTTGACCATAGGGCACATTTCATTCTGGCCCAGAGGCTACTCACTGCTGAGAAGCGGGCTCCCCTGCTCGTTTTCTGCTAGCATGGGCTACCAGACAGCATACTCTCAGATTCCAGCACCCGACTCACATCCCAGTTCTGGGCAGCCTTCCTGGAGCTCCTGGGAATACATGGAGGCTATCTGTGGTGTACCACCCTCAGACAGGTGGGCAGGCGAGTCCGTGGAGCGTAGAGCACATCTCTGGTGTTTTCGCATGATTGCCTAAACATGATGTTTCCAAAGCATGAAAGCTTCAGTTTTGTCACTTTTGCTTCTGGGGAAAGGTGTTTTCTTGGGCCCCCTCAGGAGGACTGGATAGATGTGTCGCCCCTTGCGGAGCCTGCATATAATGCTGCTCGCCATGCCTCGGCAAGCCGGAGCCCCTTCTTCGCCATACATGGCTACCATCCCCAAGACCGTCCACACGCTCCTTCCGTATCTCTCGTCCCGTCCACCAGCAAGCATGGAGTGGCCATCCAAGAGACCCAGGCAGCACTCCTGCAGCATTTGGAAAAGGTTAAGGCTTTTTCCTTCTTCAAGCAACAAGCGGGTTGGAGCGCTATCATCATCATCCTCATCATTTTAAACGAGCAGGGGAGCCCGCTTCTCAGCAGTGAGTAGCCTCTGGGCCAGAATGAAATGTGCCCTATGGTCAACGTATCCACTCCCACCAGGATCGCTGCGTACCCCAGCCACTTTTCCGTGCCTCCATTCTTGCTTTGATCTAGGACCCATCTGTCTGTCTGTCTTCCTTCCTGTCCTGGGCTTGCGCAAGCTCTCCTCCGGGACCAGGTTTCAAGCATATCCATTTTCCCCGTCAGTTTTCTTTGCTGTCCAGCTATCACACCCATGCAGGCGTTTCTGGCACGGTGATATTCTGAAAGGAACCACACTTTTCTTCTGTGTAGAAAACAGTGAAAGAAGCAGCCCTGTGAGCTTCGAAGCTGCCGCTTTCCCCCATATTAGCTCTCGCCTGCCAGGTCGGTTCTGTGGTGAGAGCCTTCTTTTCTTTCCCTTCCCATCAGAGAGGCTGGGGCATACATGGAACAGGTCCTTCTTGGTTGCAGACGTATCTCCTTGGTGCCCAAAAGACACCTTTGGCTCCTCTTCATCGATATATTGTGCCTTGTTAAATATTGGCTTGTTGACTTCACAAGACGTCAGGGACTCCTTTTCCCTTCGTGTTATATACCTGTGTTAAAGGTGATCTGTCAGCTTCCCCGTGTGTCCCACCTTGCCAGACAGGTAGCAAGCAAACCAAGAAAACGCCTTTGTGGGTTGGGGTGAAGAAAATCCTAATTGTTGCTGTTGTCTTTTTAGCCATGAAAATAGCAGACTATGTAGTAAAATTGCCGGATTACTTACAGAGAGCTGAGGAGTCCATTAAGAATCAGAAAACACAGTACAGTAAGTACCTCCATTTTGCATATGGGGTCACGGCATTTTCCTAGAACGTGAGAAGGAGCAAACATCTACAACTGAAATTGCGGTACGCTTGCGTTGGTTTGTGCACCTCCAGAAAGTCTCACGGGCCCCGTCCCTCAGTGCTGGGAAAAAGCATGGCTTTTCCTCACTTGAACCAGGAACCCTGCTTTCCGTGCAATCTTCAGGTACATGTTGCCCCTTCTTTATGGGATGTCTCCCTCTCCCAGCTTATCAGAATGGGCAGGAGGGGACCAACCAAGGAGGCCAGGGAGCCAGTGAAGGCCTCCCATGAGGAAGAGTGGTCCTGGGCCACTTGAGAGACCAGTCCTGAAGGAACTTTCCCTGGACCTGAAAGGCCTTAACGACTCCACGCTGGTGGCGAGGATTCTCTTCCTAGGCAAGGTCCAAGGGCCGGTCCTGCTTGGCTGAGGCCGAATGCCTGGGCCCATTTTGGATGGGCCCAGGCAGGCTTTGGAGCAGAAGCAGCCTCGGTCAACTACTTATTATTATTATTATTATTATTATTATTATTATTATTATTATTATTATTACATTTCTATGCCGTATTCTATTATAACATTTCTCTGTAACTTTATACGGAGCTATGCTGGGAACGAGGCCGAGGGGCCTGGCCCTCTGGATCTTCCTTGGTCTCTCAGGAGCTTTTGGACAGCACGGTATCCCTCGGGAATGACCGCCTCGCTTGGGAAGGGGGGCGCTGCATCGCAGTGGTTCCTTGATGTGATTCCAGAAGGTGGAGCTTGGGGAACACTGCTTGGCCCCAAGGGCTCTCCAGCATGGAGTTGGTCCGGGGTTGGTTTCTCCCCTGCTTTTCCCTGAAGCCAAGGCGTGGGGTCATCTGGCGCTTGGGAGTGATGTGCCGACAACACACTGTTCTGCGCCGCCTTTGAATTTCCATCAGGGGATGCTATGGATGGACCGAATCCACGCTTGAGGGCTAGTAACCTGATAGTCAGTCCTGAGGCCTGCTTGTGGCTGCCTCCTCCCAGCAGGGGGAGGGTGCCCGGCCTGCATGGTGCTTCTGCTTGCTGAAGGGCAGGTGCATAACCTGAGGGTGCTGCTAGATCCATCTCGGGCTCCCATCCTTTCATCAGAGGGCTCAGGAGCGCCTTGGTCCAGCCCCACAACAGCCCCGTGGGGTGTGCAGGGAGGTGAACTTGGCTCTTTCTGGGGCATTCGGAGCACAGACCTGCCGCCTGACCGCCCTCTTTTTGCCCTCGCTCCTGGACAGAATCGCTCTTCAGGAAAGGCGGGAGGTCTGCCAGCGGCTGGCAGCTCTTTGGGAAGAGCCTTTACTACATTTCCAAAGGAGAGAAGTCCTGGTACGACGCAGAGAACTTCTGCCTGTCCAGGGACGCCCATTTGACCTCCATCGTGAACGAGGAAGAGCAGGTTGGCTCCTTTCCTCTTCCCCTCCCGATATCTGGGGGTGGTCCGGTTCCTCCTCCGCACATTCCAAGGCCACAGGCCTTGCATCTCTCTGGGATGGGTCATGGGGGCTGCGCTCGCAGGCTGGCCTCCCCCAAGCACCTGCCTTCTGTCTCGGGTCGAGCTCGGTCCAACCGCCGGGGTGCCTGCTGGGAAGCAGGGGGCACAGCTTCTCTGCGGGCCGGTTCTGCCACAGCCCGGATGTGTCTTGAGATGGAGAGGAAGCGCATTCTCTGGCGGTGCCTTCAGATTGTGCTGCAAAAGGGATCCGCTCCCCACGGACCCGACGGGGCAGCCTCTGGCCTTCGAGGCCGCCACGCATTTCCTCCTCCCGGGGGAGGCCTCACCCCAGAGGTGTCTCCAGAAGGCGTCTCTCTTGAGCCCAGTGCTGCCCTCTCTTTCTCGGGCCGATCTCCGTGTTGCTTGGTGTGCAATCCCTCCTGAGTCTCCACCTTCCAGAAACCAACCGTTGAACCATGAGGTTCGGCAGGTCTTGCCACGTGAGGGTTAGTGGCAGGAGGCTGGCAGGCGCCTTCCCTGCTAGGAAGCAGGGCCCCCAGAGAGGGCCTCCTGAGCAGACTATGACCCAGGTGATGCCCCTCCCTCTCGCCACCCAGGTGGGCAAGGCTTTTCCTGGCCCTTCCCCAGCGCCTTCCGCTCCATGGCCCTTCCTTGACCTGCCCTGCTTTCCTCCTCCCCGGCTCCTTGGCTGGGCGCTCTCCACTCATTCTCAGCCACCTCCACCTCGCACTCCCTGGCTTCCCGGTCTTCTCCTCGCCCCCCCTTGCCCAACGGCCGGGGCATCACTGCTTTGAGCGAGGCCCATTTGTGCTGCCCTTGGGGCCTGGGCGCTTGCAGGAGAACCAGCCATCGCTCGAGCGACTGGGCGGCCGTTGGTGAAGAGGCAGCGCCTCCTGCGCCTCCTGCTCCGCTGGGGCCAGTTCAGGCAGGCGCTTGAGGTCCTTTGCAACCACTCTCTGCTACAGCAGGGTGGAGCGAACTCTGCATCTCCGCCAGATTTCCTGCACGGATTCGGCTCTCTCCTGTAAATCGGTGAAGGGTTAGTCATCCCTGCACACAGCCTTAACCTCCCCTGTCAATGCCCCGGCCAACGTCGGTTTCCCACAGTTGTGTACAGATGTGTTTGCAGATGTAGGTGTTCCAGTCAGTGGCACCAATACAAGTTCCCTCCGGGAAACCTCGATGCAACACCAGGGTGTCCTGCAGCAAGCACAGTCTGAGTCTGTCCCGAGCTTCGGGTGCTGTGAGCGCGAAGGGAAAGCCCCACGGCATGTGCAGAAGGACCTCGCGATGCCTCCAAGGGCAAGAGAGGGATCACAGCATAATCTTTGCTCAACCAAATTCTAGCACACAAACATAGAAACAGAGCGAGTCAGAAGGGGCCTTCTGGGCCACCTAGTCTGACCCCGGCTCCAGCCGGCTCCGCTCACGACATGCCCGCCATGTGCACATCCAGCCTGTCTTTGAACACCGATGGGCCCTCAACGACCTCTTGTGAAAGCCCATTCCTCAAGTCGCTGGCACTTTTGCTAGCGAGCTGCAATTGCATCCCTTTCTTTTCCGAATTGTCTCCACGAGGGGCACATGACCCGTCATTTCCCCTGCTGTGAGTTAGCTAAGAACTCACTCCAGAAACCCTTATGTATAATTATTTTTTCATATCAGCTTTACATGCTGTGTACAAACAAACATTCACGGGTCAGCCTACAATAAAATTATTGATAGAAGAAATCTAAACATGGTGGAAAAGACAGGAGAGCAGCATAAGACAAATTCAATAATCCCCAAAGGGGCTGGTCTGGCTGAAGGTGTTGGGCTGCAGACCTTCCCTGTGCTCCCAGGCTCCAGAGCGCTAGGAAATTGTGGCCGTTGGCTGCGCAGGCAGGATGTCCATGGACCAGTATCCTCGCCTCTGTCCCTGCTCCGCTTCCCCACTTCCCTGGAGCTGGAGGTCCTCCGGCCCTCAGCTCCAGGCTTGCTTGTCTCCTGGGACAGGTGTGGACAGGTGTGCTCCTGAAGCCATTGTGCAAACGAAGCTAACGCGGCACATTTCATGCGCGCAACCTGTGACCATCCACGCTGGATGATACTCCGATGCAGCTTTCATGAAGGGTTTCGGGAAGTGAGCTCTGGTGCCACGGAAGGCGTGGCAGCCGGTGGCAACAGCCAGGAGGTCCCGGCAGCCCCAGGGAGGTGCACAGGGGCTGGGGAGAGCGCCACCTCCCCAGGGAGAGGCGGCCACATCCCACACGTGGCCTCGTGCGCCTGTCTCTTCCCCTGGGCAGGAGTTCATCACCTCGCAGCTGGATGAGCCAGCCTGGATCGGCCTCACGGACGAGCACGAGGAGGGCACCTGGGAGTGGACGGACGGCTCCACGCTGCTGGCAGAGTGAGTGCGGGGGCCGAGATCCATGGCCCCCTGTCCCCAGCATTCCCGCTGCGGGGGCTCCCCTCCCTTCCCCCCCCGCATCCTCCCTGGGGCGTGATGGAAGCCCTCTGCGCGCAGGTACTGGTCCGAGGGCAAGCCCAGCCGCGCACGGCACTACGGGGAGGTGGAGCACGACTGCGCGGCCATCGTGCCCTCGGTGCACGGGGACAACTGGAGCGACGCCGACTGCCACGGGAGGAACCGCTGGGTCTGCAAGGAGAGCCTGGACGCCAGGGGGGGCTGAGGCGGGCCTGCCCTTCCGGCCCGTGCCCTGGCGGCCTCTTGGCAAATCTAAAGCCATGCGATGAACAAGGAGCTCTCTTTCCTCTCTTCCTTGGGCCCCAGAGAGACGGAGGGGCGGCCAGCCCTGAGGCGGGGCAGCAGCCCGGCCGGTCTTGCCGGGAGAACTCTCCGGGCTCTGGGAAGGGCTGAGGCAGGATGCATGGGGCAGGGTGGATGCCGGGGGGCATTCCTGGGCAGGGCGGTTGCCCCATTGCAGGGAACCAGTCCCTGAGGGCAGGGCGTCCTGGGCTGCCAGCCCCCCTGAGGGAACGTCTCCCCCTCCCACCGGCTGCCCTGGCCTCGCTCTCCGGAAAGGGCGGTCCCTGCCAGGTGGGCAGTGGGGAGAGGGAGCCTCTTTCCCAGTGCAGAGGAGGAACCCGACGCCATGCATTCCCACGGGCCGGTGTGCCGTGCACCATCCGATCAGTCAGTGGGAAGCAACTCACCCACCTCTGCCCCTCCAGCACTCCACCGGAGACTGAGCACTGGGTCATGCTGCTGGAGAGAGATCTGGCAGAGCAAAGCAACCCTTTCTGTGCCCTGGTTCTCTGCCGCACATCCAGCACCACAGTGGCAAGCAGAATGCGGCCCGGTGCTGCTTGCAGTGCTCCTCTCGGCGAAGAGGTGAGGTGCATCACAGGAGGACCGTGTGCCAGGGCGGGATGCTCCTTCCACGACGAGGAACGGAAGTGCCGTGCGGAGCAGAGCTCTGGTTTCTGGCGTGGGCTATGCTGCAGGCTTCGATTCCACGGTTCTGCGGTCCGTGGGGGTTCTGCTCCATCCCCGCTGTGCTCTTCTGTAGCTGCTCGGCGCTCCAGGTGGCAGCTGTGCTGAAGAGCACCTTCCTTCAGCTTTGGCTGATTCATCGGCTGCAGCCTTACCTGGATGAGCAGCGCCTCGCGATGGCAGCCCGTGCTCTGGTAACCTCAGGACTGGACTATTGTAACGTGCTCTACGGGGGCGGCCCTTGGAGACAGTCTGGATGCTGCAGTTGTTCCAAAATAGAGCAGCCAGGCAGGTATGCACACATAACACAGGTCCTCTTCCACCTACACTGGCTACCAATTGACATCCGGGCCCAATTGAAGGTGTTGGTGATGACTTAAAAAGCCCTAAATGGCATAGGACCTGGACAGCTGCAGGAGCGACTCCTTCCATATGTGCCTGCCCGCCCCTTGAGATCTGGGGCAGAGGCCCTTCCTTGGGAGCCCTCCTTGAAGGAGGCAGGAGGGCAGCGACTCAGAGAAGGGCCTTCTCTGTGGTGGCACCCCGACGGTGGGACATGCTCCCCAGAGACATGTGCTTGGCACTGACACGTCATTCTTTCTGGCACCAGGCCAAACCCTTTTTACTCTCCCAACATTTCAAGGTTTAATTGTTATTTTGCTGGGGTTTTATAGAGGATGTGATGCTGTGCTTTGTACTGTAGGGCCGTCCTGAGACTTTATGTAATAGGGATGGGATGGAAGAGCTTTAAATGCACAGATGTACACAAGGTGTGTCAGGGAGCCGTGTGGGCGGAATCGGCACTGGCGCTGGGAACCTGGTGCAGCAGGATGCCCGCCCTAACCACGTGGCCGCACCACGTGGTGGTCTGTGCCGCTGGAGGATCCACGGGGCCGGGAGGGCGCGCCTGCCTGGTTCTCCCCCAGAGCCACAGGTCTCAGTGCTGCTTCACGCTGGCCTCCCGGCCGCCACCGGCACTCCCACAGCCCTTCCTGCGGTGCAGTCCCAGAGGGGCAAAGCCGGGGCTAGGAAGGGTCCCGTTAGTACTGCTGCTCAGTATTCCCCTGCTGGTCCCCTCGCCTCACGTGAGGAGAAGCGCCCTGCCGTGAATGTCCAGGGGCGTAGCCCCCCAACACACAGCCGTGCCATCACAATCCGCCGCCTCCAGCGCCGGGTGTGCAGGGACCATTGTGAGTGCTGGCCAGGCCTGCGGGCAGCCAATCAGCAGGCGGCTGCAGGCACAGGGCCTGGGGGGGGGAGCAGGGCTCCCGGGGGAGGCAGCGAGGGGCATGGGACGCACAGATGAGCTGCAGTGCAGGATCCAAGAGACACCGACTCGGAGGAAGCTCACGGGAAGCTCTGCAACGGTCGCCTGGCCTTCTAAGAGGAACCCGAAGGAGGAGGTACGGCACTTGTTCTCTGGGTGCCCCCTGTATTTCATCCGGGCATCCTCTGGGGGCAGGTGGGCCTGGGGTATCCCCGCGTGCTGCAGCTGCAGCGATTTCCTGCTTGCCCCGCTTCCCACGGCAATTTCTAGCTTTTTGGATGAAAGATCCAGGCCTGAGTCCTTCCCATCCTGCACTGGCTCGTGCCCCGCAAGCATGGCAGGCGAAGGCACTGAATGCGCAGGAACAGTGTTGCGCAACATCGCAAGCTGTGGCTGCCTAAGGCGCCCCTCCACGTAGACGCACGTTTCCTTGGTCCTCCAGGCTGGAATCTAGCTGGGACCGCCAAGCTGCCCCCCCCCCCCCCGTTCTGGGGCTGCAGCGTGTGCGGAAGGCATCCATGCTGGGCTGGCCCAGGACCCCCACGGGGAGATGCGGGGCCGCCTGGCCCACCCCTGTGAGGGTCCGGATCTGTGCCGTGACGTGTGGCCTGGCATTGCAGAAAGGCATCCCGTAGGCATTTGGCGGCGTCTGGACAGAAATGCTGGCGGGGCAGTCGGGGCGCTGCGGCCTGCCTCCGTCTCGAGGTCCGGCACTTTTCCGCTTGCTGCACCCGTGGCGATTTTTACCGGGTCAGCGTGAACCTCGGCACATTTGCGGGCTTGCGCAAGTCGATGCCGCATGTCGGGCTCCGAGCGTGAGGCGGGGTAGTGTGTGGAAGCCCGGAGGCTCCTCCTGCGTCTGGGAGCTCCGTGCAGTCGCCCTTAATTTAAAGCGCATTAGCCGCTGCGTTTGTGCACCGTCCTCTGCATGCAAGCGGGTCCTGAGTCGCTCCGAGATTCCCATGCGAGGGGCTGGTCTGAATTAATTCACGTTATTGATTGACCTGCGTGGCTTAGGCATGGGCAGGAAGGAGCCGCGAGGCAAGAAAGCAGAGCTCGTGGCTCTTTGTCCCCGGCAGTGCCACCTTCGCGCCTCTTCCCCGCTCTTCACACAGCAAAGCTCAGGGAGCCAAGGTTCTGTTTGGATGCCAGGAAGCACTTCCTGACAGTCAGGACCCCGAGGGCGTGAAACGGGCTTCCACGGGAGGTGGTTGAGGCCCCACCGGGTGTTGAGGGTGTTCAAGGACAGGCTGGACATGCGCATGGTAGGCATGTCACAAGCAGAGCTGGCTGGAGCTGGGGTCGGACTAGATGGCCCACGATGCCCCTTCTGACTTGCTGTTTCTATGCTTCTATGTTTCCTTGCTCTTATCCTTCAAGCCATGGCCCCCAAGGGCAAATCTCCCACACCAAGCAAATCGCTTGTGGACAACAGGAGAAGGGCCATGGCTGGAGCTGGAGGGGAGGTGGCACCCCCTTTCAAAAATCTTCGCCTGAAGATCTTGTGGGTGATGATTGGGATAATCTCATTCGTCTGCCTCATCATGCTGATCACGATGACCTACCTCTGTAAGTTCCGCTCTCCGTGTGAACGCGCACCTGCTCCGTGAGCCGCTCCGGGGTCCCCACGCCCCACGCTCAGCTCTGCAGGCCCCCTTGGGTGCTCCACATGGGAAAGTTGCTTTGCAGTTGTTCTTTCCTTTCTGGTGTGAATTAAAAGCAACCCAGAAGTCTTGCCCAGAAAGCTTTGGCTATTGGTGCTACGTGGGCTTCTGCAAATGTGGTGGGGCAGTGGGAACCGGGGGAGGGTCAGTGGCACTTGGGCCCCTGTGGGCCATGCGCTGAGAGAGCTGCAGGGAGGTCCGGGGGCTGCAGGCGGAGGCTGCATCAATGCAGTCTTTGTACGCTCCATGCGCTGCATGGCTGGCTTTGCTCCTGCAAGCCTTCCGGGAAACACTCTGGACGCCTGTCCACAAGTCCTTTACATAGAGAGAAGGTGCTGCGTTCAGTCAAGGCTTCTCTTGCCCAAAGCCCTTCCCATGGGAGGTTGCCCAAACTCTGCTGCTGGGACCTCGTGGAGCCGCAGGCAGGTGCGCTGCAGCCCCGGAAAAGTCAGGCCCAGGCGCTGGCAGAAGGGAACGTCTCAGACTGAGCGTTGTACGTGTGTGGACCAGTTTTCTATTGGAGGATTCTGAGCAGCTTCAGACTATGGATCTGGTATCTTTTGCTTGTTGTTTAGTCGCAAAGTCGTGCCTGACCCATCACGTCCCCATGGACAGCATTCCTCCAGGCTCTCCTGTCCTCCACCATCCCCCGGAGTTCACCCACCGCCCCAGTGACTCCATCCAGCCACCTCATCCTCTGCCGCCCCCTCCTTCTTTTGCCGTCAATTGTTCCCAGCATCAGGCTCTTCTCCAGGGAGTCCTTCCTTCTCATTAGGTGGCCAAAGTATTTGAGTTTCATCTGCAGTATCTGGCCTTCTAAAGAGCAGTCAGGGTTGATCTCCTCTAGGACTGACCGGTTTGATCGCTTTGCGGTCCAAGGGACTCGCAGGAGTCTCCGCCAGCACCACAATTCAAAGGCCTCAGTCCTTCGGCGCTCATCCTTCCTTATGGTCCAGCTTTCACAGCCATGCATTGCAACTGGGACACCCATAGCCTGGACTCTACAAACATTTGTCGGCAGGGTGATGTCTCTGCTTTTTAGCAGGCTGTCTAGATTTGCCATGGCTTTCTCCCAAGGGGCAAGCCTCTTTTAATTTCTTGGCTGCAGTCCCTGTCTGTAGTGACCTTGGAGTCCAGGAAAATAAAATCCGTCACTACCTGCATTCTGGTATCTTAGCATGCATCAATTCCTACTAATTTCAGATGTTTCACTGGGAGTGGATAAGCAGCATCCTCTTGAGGATCAGATGAAGAAAATGAGGCATGCGATGGCCACTGGGCTCAAAAGCCCCAAGCTCGATTACG